ACAGATTATCACTTACACAACCTTGCATTCTTGCATGGGTGAAGTGTTTTACGTTACAGCCTTTAAGTCGAACCTTCTTACAACGTTACAGACTTACAATATTATAGCCCCGAACTTCACAGCGATACAAACCTACAACATTACAACCGTATAGCCTTTCAATTCTTACCACAGCCTTACCTCGTTTTCTTTGTAAAAACCTACCTTTACACACACAATGTTTGCTTCAAGTTACAACCTTACAACATTACCTTGGCATCTTACTTTCTCATCTCCTTACAATTAGGAGCAAGAGCCTTAAAATTTTGTCACCATAAGGCCTGGTAACCTTGTTGTCTCGCCACCTAGATTTTAGCATGCCTATGGAAAGTTGTCGGAAAGCCATCACGCGCTTTATGAGTTCATGATATAAAGAAATTTACAACAGACTCGAGACAAGAGAAAAACAATGAGGACAACAAACAACATGAGTGAAAATCAGCCCAACGTACATTTTCCTGAGTTGAGGCTGACAATTAGAGGTCTTACAATGATTTAATGAATTTAAAAACCCAGGGATTACCTTGAATATTGATTAACTTCAATGATGCCCAAGTTTAACAAAATATTGTTTGAGTTTTATTGTTCAAGTCCCGTTCAATTTAGCAATTTTAGGGTCGACCACACCAGTTGATATTCAAACCAATGGTCCTAAAAATTAAATGGGGCGATTTGTCCAGGATTTTCACTCGAGGTAATTGGATCTTACAAGATTCATTTGAGACTAAAGTGTCATTTAGTAAAGTCTTGTAGCCATATAGTTTGCAATAACATTTTAAAACAACTTTGTGGTTAAAGTATTTTGACAGCTTGAAACTCCACCCGCAGTTTCCCTAAAAACGCTGTCACAAATGTTTTTAAAATTTTGGTATTATTTAGACAACTATGTCAGGTCGTATATCCAAAATTATAAGTTCTTACGTCTCATGTAAAATAGGATATGACGTCATACCGTTGCCACGGTACCTCAGATCATGGTAAAGCGTATGTCATTTGAAACTTTCGTCTTTCTCTAGCACACCAGTAACGTTCGAGTTTCTGTTTGATTAATTATGGTGGTGTTCTAGTCGTTCGAAGTTGAACGGTATCATTGCTCAAAAATCCGATCAAGCCACCTTAATTCTACGAAGAATAACGTAGAATTGATTCAGAGTGCTTGAAAACCGTGAGCTGATTAACTGGTCGAAAGCAAGGCAAGTGAAACACACATTCTGTTTCAGATTTTCGCAAGAAGGCATTACAGGAATAGTTCTTTGTACTGTAGAAATTGTGTCGCTACGGAATAACCAATAAACTTTCCAACTTTCTGAAAGGAAATATTGAACAAATTCCTTTTGAGATGGTGTATCATTCTTTAAAACTACTCAAAATTAGAAGAGGGTACTGATAGTAACTCCAGGTTGGTAATTCCTTTCTTTTTTCCTTTCAGCCATCATGATTCGGTTTTTCGTATTAGTTTTTTCGTATCATTCTTAGCCGATTTCGAACTTTCATCGTCCAGACTTCGTAATTAACTTTTAACAAAAGGTTCGTCTTTTCAAGAAACGCGAAATTTCAAAAAAATATATTATTCTACTACGATGCCACTTTAACCATATTACGTGAAGTCAGAGCGCAAAAAATATATAGAGGATATTACACGGTGGCGCGTGATTAAAGGATCCGTTTACACCACTACAATACCACTGATTTTAGAACTATTGAATCAAACATCTGTATCACGTCAATTATGATGTGTTTCACGTGGCGATGAAGGAAGTAGAACAACTTAACATATGGCTACGCACAAACCAAAACGTTATTGCGTCAGTAAAGTCAACCAGTAGGAGCAGCTTACCGAACAGCACACATCATCATATATTATTCGATTCTAACAGCGACAAGATGTGAATTTTATGTTCGAGTGGCAAAAACAAGTTTTTGCCACTCGAACATAAAATTCACATCTTGTCGCTGTTAGTTTTTGCCACTCGAACATAAAAGACAACAGTTTTTGCCACGAAAACGTAAAATACATATCTTTGAGCCAACGTGTTACGCAAATTGCAGCTCGGCAGCTGGAATATCTTGAATATTTCTTTTTTTGGTTTACTTTGAAGAAACTCCTTGAATAGTTTTAAGCCACATGAAGTTTCTTTCATCGTTTTGGCATTTTTGGCATTCTCGTGCTTCTTAATTAGTGAACGATTTTATGTTGGATTCTGTGATTTCAAAATCTCTATAGCTCGCCAACTTTTGGCAAAGTTGGCAGCTGCGCAATGAAAAGGAGTCATATCCTCACTAGCAGTTACTATTTTGCTATTAAGTGAGGATATGGAAAATTCGTGTGAACTTTAAGAATAGTGCGTTTTCCAGTAAAACACTCCTGTCTGTATAATGTAAAAAATGGAAATCTTATTTATAGTAGTCATGCACTTAGCTATACAAGCACTAAACTTAGCTAGTTTACAGGCATGCCACTGAAACAAAGGAAACAAATATTTCAAATAAACGTAAAATAGTTAAAAATCCCAACTGGCAGGAGGCAGACCAGTTGGCTATTTACAGAGCGTGACCGAGGATTTGAACTCGGGACTACCGAGAAACAAATCCCGCTGGTGGCAGGGTGGAAGCCTTGAACCCGTGACCTCCGGACATCAGCGCCCTAAACCACTCTGCCACGCTGCCTCCACAATAATACATCTTAAGAGCCCCTAATGCACTGTAGAGTCGTATTTTTGTCAGTTCGTCATTCGCATGCTCCTTATGCGATCGCGGTAATATTTTCGGATGATGCAGGTTTATTTCAAAAGCTAACTAAACTAAAAGCCGAAATACTAGAAAATGAAATAATAGTTAGATAATTGTCAGCGCAAAAGTTAATTCAGTTATAGGCAGTCATGTGTAATTTTAATTTTAAGCTTATATAACAAGAACTAGGCTCGGTTACGTTAGGGAGCTTAAGCAAACCACGAGGATGACGGCAACGGGAACGTCACCAAAGAAAATTAAAGGTTTATGAGGAAAACAATAGCTTTGCACGTGCGTTATAAATCTTTGTACATTTCTTGCCGTCCTCTGCAAAAAAAGAACGTGAAATGACCAAGTTCTGCGTATTCGGAGGAACGCGAACGAGGGCGGCTAATTTTTCGTATTTCTATTTCGAATTGAACGCTGTCATTGGATATTAAGTCTGAGAACGTTTTTAGAGCCATTGGCGAACTGAACAGATCTAGAAAATCGCGAATTTCACTGGTAAAATATAAATTCATTTTTGGCTGGGCGTGGTCCTCGGCGTCGCCGTTATCGTTGCTTAAGATGAACTTAACTGACTGGTATAACAGCAGGAAATACGTGTCTTTAGCTGCTGTGATTAGTATTCATCTTGCATTATTTGCTTTAAAAAATATCAATTTTCCAGTTTGGTTAGGCAAAGGACAATCTTCCAGCAGGTCCAAAACTTAAGGAAATCTATGTGGTACATACTACAGGAAGAATTACTGTCCCAAATTTTCCCCGACTGCTTTCTGCACGTACCGCAGGGTAGAAATGTCCTTTCAGACGGCTCAAGCAGAGAAAGTGAAAACAAATCAGGAAACAGAATTTTACGTACATCTGAGATTTTGAATTGATTACCTGACAAGCTAGCAAAACACTTCTGCCGACTGACACAACATAATTGTACTGACAATTTAGTGATACAAATTAATGAGTTCCACTAGAACTGCAAAACTTTCATTTCCCTGGTTTCCTTTGGGATAACACACCAACCACTACGCTAACGAAATGCTTGAAAATGAAAACGAAACGATAGCTCGTTTGAAAAGCCTTGATGAATAAACAAAGTATACGACATGTGCTGTAGACACCTTGAGAATGAACTAGATGATAAAAATGGAACTGTTCTAAATGTTTTCTCTTTTGCCCCCAAAAAACCCTGCAGCGAAGTGAAGCAATTGCAATTAACCGTGCAAGTTTAATGTAATCTTAACGTTTTAGTTTACTATGAAGCGGAATGACTGAGACTGACTGATTGAAAACGTTCAGTTATTTTTCAATATTAAGGGTCTCTCACAAATGAGTTCGATCAGTGCCGTTTTCAATGTTTATTTTATTTACCTCAAGAACCAAAATACTAGCGCGTTTTTAGCTCTACGAAACC